GATGGGTAGACAGATGGATAGACAGATGGATGGATGGATGGATGGATAGATGGATGGATGGATGGATATAGTTGGTTGTAGTAGGTTCTATGGTTCCCTGTCACATTTTCATGAAGGACTGTGTTGTTCAAGGGGATGTGCTAGGGCAGTATCTGATATTTCCATCAACCAGAAGGTTTTTAAAGTTCTGTTGAAGGGTCATGTGATAATTCAGGACTGTCTGGTGGTTCAGAACCTTTTTACAACAGAGGGAACCGTGGTCCACATGGGTCTTCTTGCCCCTGATGGGGCTTGATAAAGAGTTCTAGATGTTTGATCAGTTGTATTTGGGTGCAGAATGCAGGAACTCCAGGTTACAGCAGGAGGAGATGATTTACCTTCTCCACTCCGTACCCCTCCCTCTGCAGGAGCAGCATTGAAGGAACCACCACAGCTGGAGACACGGCAGCCAGAACAAAACTAAACCAACACACAGTTATATTATTACTGACAATGATAAGAGCAATGATAACATGTTGTACAGGAAGCTGCAGTTTGTGTGGATGCAGCAGCTTCAGGTTGAAATCTTGTTTTCACGGCTGCGGCGATGGCTCAGTAACCTCACAGCTGCAGATGTTTAGATGTTTTACCCCAGGATGAAGCCCCAGACCCACGGCAGAGACAACAGGAAGTGAGAAACCACGGCGATGACGCAGGCCTCCACCATGCAGGGCCCGACGGCGACACGCAAACACACGGCCTTCAGCCGGCGCAGCGCCTGCAGCACACACACACAGAGTGAAGCAGCGCGCTCCAAGGATCGACACAAACCGTCTGGACGGGTGTTTGTACCGACGGGTCGAGGCCCAGCCCGGCTCGGGTCAGGATGACTGACAGGGCGATGTTCCTCAGAGCTGCTGACCAGTGAGTGTCGATGAAGACGGCGTTGGTCACGTATGGAACGTTACGGAGCAGCAGGCCCGCCAGGAGCATGCCTACACACACACAAACACACACACACACGCACGCACACACACACACACACACACGCACACGCACACGCACACACACACACACACACACACACACACACACTGTTAGACTGAACAGGATCAGGACCATCAGAGTCAGTTAAAGCAGGATTTGGTCCAGTTGAGGGGTCGAACCGAGCAGCGGAGGGAAGGGGGGCAGGGTCGGCAGCTGGACCAGTCCCACCAGCTTCCCCCCCAGCACCGAGCAGATGAAGAGGATGACGATGCCGAAGAGGTTCCCTCCAGGTAAACATGCCCTTCCTGTGACGGACCAGACGACGCTGAACAGCAGCGCCAACAAACACCCTGCAGGAACAGAACCATGGGGTTGGTTTAGTGTCTACAGGTTCTGGTTCTGATCAGTCACTTGAAGATAATCAATAATTAATTAATTCACTTTATTTCTACAGCTCCAGCAGAACTCGTCTCAGGACACTAAAACATTCACAGACTTTGTAAAAGACAATTACTAAAGTTCTAGCAGGTTGTGTTGAATCTTCACTTGGTCTCAGTCTCTCATCCTGAGCAAGAACAGAGGAGACAGTGGGAAGAAAAACTCCCTGTAACAGGAAGAACCCTCCAGAAGAACCAGACTCAGGACGAGCGGACATTGCTTCAACCAGCTGGGTTGAGAGGACAGGAAGGAGAAACAGACACAGGATGACAGGTCCAGGTGAACTTTCTATAGGAGGAAAGACAAAAAATCATGTTACGATAGAAATAATTACAAACAGGTAGAGTAGAGCAGGTAAAGACAGCAGCAGAGAGAGGACATGAGGTCAGTTTGTCCTCCATCAGTCTAAGCTTAAGACAGCAGAACTAAGGGACAGCTCAGGAAACCCAAGTCAACCCTAACTATAGGATTTATCAAAAAGGAAAGTCTTAAAACTGGACAATGTGTCAGCCTCACGGACAGAAACTGGACGTTGGTTCCACAAGAGAGGAGCCTGAGAACTGAAAGATCTTCCTCCCATTCTGCTGCTGGAAACTCTAGGAACCACAAGTAAACCTGCAGTCTGAGAGTGAAGTGCTCTGTTAGTAAAATATGGAACAACAAGATCTGTACTAGAAGCAGCTGTTCACAGTGAAGAGTAAAGAAAGAAAAAGATCTGAACCCAGAACTGGACTCTGGTGGTCCCGCTCCATCTAAACTCTGGTGTTTGTTACCTTTAGTGATGAGCAGGTTGAGGAGTCCCCGCGGTCGAGGACATCTGTCCTTCAGATGGACACAGGACGACCAGCAGGAGGAAGACGAGTCAGAGATCTTCATCTGTTGACACACAAACACACGGATCACAGACGGACACGGCAGCTCCTGAAGGTGTTCTGACCCTTGACCTGGTCCAGGGTTGAAGTCAGGGGAACACCTGCTTCTTTGTAAACCTTCAGTCTCAGTCCGGTTGGACAGGGACCCTCAGTAGAGCCTCCTCCAGGTCTCTTTAGAGACATCTGAAGGGTTCAGGTCATGGTTCTGTCTGGTCCACTGTAGGACAGTCAGGGACAGGTGTCCCTCCCCTGTGTGTCTTCTTTGTGTGTTTTGGGTCATCGTCATGGTGGACGGTCTGGTCCAGTCTGAGGTTCAGTGTCCTGCACCATGATGCTGCCACCCCTGTGCTTCACTGATGGACGTTCCTTTGAATCTAACTTTATTTAAAACCGTCTACACATTAAATACATCTGTGTGTGCATGCATGTGCATGTGTGTATGTGCATGTGTGTGTATGTGCATGTATGTGCATGTATGTGCATGTATGTGTGTGCATGTGTGTGTTGTTGACCTCTCACCTCGTCAGTGTCGTCCAGCTCGTCCGTCCTCCTCCGTGGCAGCACGGTGATCTCTCTGTCCTCCTGGACATCCTGAACTTTACTCCCTCTGGTTCCCTGAGACGTCAGTGTGTGTGTGTGCGTGCGTGTGCGTGCGTGTGTGCGTGCATGTGTATGTGTGTGTGCGTGCATGTGTGCGTGCATGTGCATGTGTGTGTGTGTGTGTGTGTGTGTAGGAGGGTCAGAAACAGAAACAGAGTTAGGAGCTGGACTTTGTCCTCTTGGACCCAGAGCAGCGGGTCTCTAACCCTCCGGCACCTCGTGAAGAAAGAAAACAACAAAAAGCTTCAGATGTTAAAACGTCTCCAGCAGAACCGAGTCTGAACATCTGTGATCCACTGGGTCGAGGGTCCATCAGAGACCAGAACCAGAACCTGAGAGGTCCATCATCAGGTTCAGAGGATCTTAAAGTTTTTAAATCTTTTTAAAATCACTTTTCAGTCAGTTTGAGTTTGACGGAGATCAAACTGAGGAGCTGAAGCTGAGGCTCAGATCTGGTTGTTGGACCGGCCCGGTTCAGGTCCAGTTCAGAACCTGACCTCTGAGTCTTAAAATAGCTGCTGTTGGTTCTGAGTTTTAAGAGTTTTATGATGCTGTAGCGGCAGGTTGACTCATTTAAGGTGACCGGTGCCGTCCAACAGAACCAGTGGGTCGAGTGGTGGAACCACCTGAGGTCCAACAGAACCAGTGGGACATGTGGTGGAACCAGCTGAGGTCCAACAGAACCAGTGGGACATGTGGTGGAACCAGCTGAGGTCCAACAGAACCAGTGGTTCGTGTGGTGGAAGATGTCTGAGGTCCAACAGAACCAGTGGGACGTGTGGTGGAAGATGTCTGAGGTCAAACCTCTCGTCTCTGTTAGGAACCAAACTATAACTGGTTGTTTTTGTCGGACGTGTTTTTTTGTTGCACCGCACTTCTTCCTGTCCGTCAGTCGAACATTTCTCGTTTTTATTCTGTAAACGAGGCTGGAAATGTCCTACAGTCCAGCCACACGAGGAGCAAACAGGGCTGGAAAGTTTCCATCCTCTCAGCAGTCTTTTATTTTGTAAACCAACGTCTTTTATTTTGTAAACCAACATTTATCTTCCTCTTCCTGTTCCTCTGGTTCTGCTGTGACCCGAGCTGCTTTGGACTGTGTTGATGTGGTTCTGGGGTCAGAAGAGGTGTCAGCTTGTGTTCTAGTTGCCACTTGTCTCCTGAGAACCAAGACCCTGGATTTACCTGGGCGTTCTCCGTGGACCCAAACTGTGCAGAAACCAAGGAACCAGGTTCCACCTGCCTGGAACCTACCTGTGTTGGAGTTCTGCTCCTCCAGCTCCTGCACCCACAGACTCATCAGCCACACCTGAGCACCTTCAGCTTGATGAGGATGAGGAGCATGAAAGGCGTCAGAAGACATTCAGCCAGAGCTGGAGCACTACCTGCCTACGGTGGTCTTCTTCTAGTCTTCTTCTAGTCTTCTTCTAGTTTTCTTCTAGTTTTCTTCTCGTCTTCTTCTAGTCTTCTTCTAGTCTTCTTCTCGTCTTCTTCTAGTCTTCTTCTCGTCTTCTTCTCGTCTTCTTCTTGTTTTCTTCTAGTCTTCTTCTCGTCTTCTTCTAGTTTTCTTCTTGTTTTCTTCTCGTCTTCTTCTAGTCTTTAAAACCAAACTTGAATCCAACAAAGTTCAGTCAGATGATTTGGACTGTTTCTTTCTTCTTTTTTTGTTGTTGAGATGTTTCGTCCTTCATCCAAAGGACTTCTTCAGTCTGAGGAGCCACAACAAACTGAGTCCCACAAGCAGCACACCCACACAGTGGACCAACCAGTTTGACGGTGATAAGATGGTTTCTGGGACCCGCCCTCTCCACTGTCGACTCCTCTGAGGCAGCCATTGCCACAGTGGTTCAAAACATCAAAGATGATGAAGTCCTTCGGATGAAGGACGAAACGTCTCAACAAAAAAAGAATCAGTCTGATGACCTGACTGAACTGTTGGATTTTCTACCTGGATTATTGAGCATGAACATTGATGCTACAAACATTAATGACTACATGTCTCCACTGAGTTATCTTGATGTCCTCCTGTTTCCTGAACCCTCTGTGGACCTTGAGCTCCTCTGCGTCTCATCAGCTGCCTCCACACCTTCCTGCCACTCACCTGAACACCTGCACCCCCTTCACCTGGTTGCAGTATTTCTGATGTTGGACATAAAACCTGTAAACTGATTCTGTCTTGGTCTCTGTTCTCATTGGTCCTTGTACCTGGGTGTAGCCGCATCATCACAACCTGGAGATTATTGTCAGGAACGTCCCTCAGACTTCCCTGGATCCATATTACCTTGGAGATACTCTTACCTGTGACTGTTCCTGTCCAGATCCTCCCAGTACCACCTGTACCTGTCCTCCTGGTAACCACTAAACATACCTTTGCATCCTGGTCCAGCCCTCCTAGCTGAGTTTGGAGTAAAGGTTCCTGGACTTTCTGAGATCGGGCTGGGTTTTTGTTTGTCTAGTATTTTTTTAGTTCTAATCAATAATTTGCCATTATTGTGGTGGAGTGGGCGGAGCTTACAGACTCTGAAGGCTGTATATTTTCTTTAAGCTATAAATTATTAAATTCTGGCTCCACTTCTGAACAACAGAAGACACAGAAACACTTCATCCATCATGTTGTCAGACATAAATGTTTTTAAATTTATTCCATTTTATTTGATTCAGTCAGTAGACTCAGGTGGTGGGCGGAGCCTAAAAGCAAGAATTAGAAGATGTGGTTGTGTTGGGTTGTTACCTCAGATTGGTTCTGCTGAGGACTGATGTCCACAGGATGGACGTAACGCCTTGTAGACTCTTCATCCATCATCTGACACACACACACACACAGGTTGAACGTTCAGACTTCTGAATATTTAAGACGAGGATGAAAGAAACAGATTATAAAGTAAATGGATCAACATATTCTGATCCGGTTCAGGATTTGTTTGGTTCTAACTGAAGCAGCTCAGAATCTGAAGGTCCATAATGAGCTGATCACATGAGAGACCAGGAGGGTTCTGGTTCTAACGTAAAGTTCTGAAGTTAACCTGAAGAAGGACTTTCTGCATCAGAAAATTTTAATAAACAAGAACAGAACCTGTTTCAGACTTTAATGTTTCAGACTTTAATGTTTCAGATTTTTGTTTCAGATTTTAATGTTTTAGCTTTTTATGTTTCAGACTTTAATGTTTCAGACTTTAATGTTTCAGATTTTTGTTTCAGATTTTAATGTTTTAGATTTTTATGTTTCAGACTTTTGTGTTTCAGACTTTAATGTTTCAGACTTTTGTGTTTCAGACTTTTGTGTTTCAGACTTTTGTGTTTCAGATTTTTATGTTTCAGACTTTAATGTTTCAGATATTTATATTTCAGATTTTTACGTTTCAGATTTTTATGTTTCAGATTTTAATGTTTCAGATTTTTATGTTTCAGACTTTTGTGTTTCAGACTTTTGTGTTTCAGATTTTTATG